AATTTTATGTAAGGTTATTTTTATATAAGCAAGTAAATATTAATATGTACTTCGGTTTGAATGTACCTAACCATAGTCCATACCCTATATAAGTATAGGACCAGTATCTTCGACCTCTATCTTTAGCGTATAGAAATAACTAACAATTGATAGATAAAATATAATGTAATATCAATTTACATATTTACATTAACTTTAATGATTAAAAGTAGTTAAAAATTATAAACCTATATGTAAATTTAGAATGAATAAGAGATTATCTTCATTTTTCACAATTGTTTTTATTATCTGCTGTTTTTACTACCTAATCGTACCTTATGATACATTTTGTACTTTGAACACTTAAAATATAAATAAACCACATTTTGGCAGTGACACAACACGGTAATATGGTTCCATGATTAAATATTTAATTGCTTATTTTAATTTAATATGCTCTTACGATATAATATTGGTTATATATATTTGTAATTTTTACCTCGAGTAATCGGATATGTCTATATTTTTTGGTTGTTCTGCATTGGATCCCTGTTCCATAAGTCGGCTGCATATTTTCAATTTCATTCTTTCCTATAAATGAAAAAGTCAGGCAATTATTATAGTTGTCAAAAAATAAATATTTAATAAATGAAAATATAATACGAGCATATTATGTAATATTGATATTTTAAAAACACAAACATTTCGGGGATCTTCATTATAGTAGTCCAACAGCGTTTCACAAAACGTCTGTCCGATATCTTCAAAGTCTTTGACGGTGAGATGAGTGTTTGCTCGAGAACCAAGAGATGAACCGCAAAATGATGCTTCCATTGTGTAACTGTTCTCGACACCCATCAACCACACGACTACGCGAGCCGTATTTTCCTTTGAACGCTGAATGTTGAAATTGCAATCTTCAAACGAAAACTGTGACATGAACACAATAAATTACGTTAGTTTCCATATTTTTTCTTTAAAATATGCAACTAATATACTTTTTCTGGAGCATTTTTGTGTAGCAAGAGTGGAAATATTTGCTCCTGCAGTTTTCTACCTTCGTGGCCTTTTCCTTCGCATCCATACATGAAAATGTTTGATTTCCTCGAATGTGCATGCAAATCGCAAAACATCACTACTTGGCGTTCTTCAATTAATCTTAAAATATTTCATTTATAACATAGGTACATTTCTAAAAGGTTTAATTATTTAATTCTTCATTCAAATTGTTGTATACGATTTTAAGTCTTCAGTTTTTAGAAGTTTTTTTTTTATTTCATAAAAATAAATATACGAACAAAATACTGATATATATATTTATAACTATAAGTCATGTTGTCTTAAATGAAAAATCATTAAAATGTAATTATGTACAATAATAATACATATAATATAATATTACATAATTAAAAAGTGGGTACCGCTCTACTGTACATTACTTGCCGTATGAGTCTCTGTTATGAAAGTTGTATAAAATTTGAATTCAATGTTATTAAATGATTGTATACGAAAAAAAATTCTGACCGAAGACGGTCTACTTGCATAAATTACCAAGTATATATTTATGKTAATAAACTAATTTATTTTACTATAAGTAAAAAAGTATGTAGAATTAATTTTCTCAGATATACTTTAAAAGTTTCAAGTACCTGCCTACAAATAATATTTTTAAATCATTATTTATTATTACTTTATTATGAATTTCTAAAACTTAGACAATTTCCTTGATTTTGACAATGTTTGTCAAAATTATAACTTCAGACATTAACATATTTGAAAGTATTATGTCAGTAGGATACCACTACTAAAACTGTCCTGGAAAAAATTCAATAAATATTTCCATAATATGCACATATGTACCAACTGAATTTTCTATGAAGGTAGACGCTTTTTATTAGGATTTTTCCCGAACTTAGGATAAGCTACCAGATAATGAAATTAAAGATGTGTTGGGGTACTTCGGTGATTTAAATATCAAATGTAGATGTGCGAAACAATTCTCCATTACGATAGGAAATGAAAACCTGTATGAGATAAGTTATGAGAATGGAATTATATTATTGTAATTTTTGAAAAGTAATAACATTATAGTAGAAGCACGACGTTCGCACGTCAGAAAATCTATATACATTCACGGATTTAGCCAAACAGTGAACAAATTAATCAAATAAATCACAGTCTGATCACATGAAACTAGGGCAAATAAACAAACGCTGAAAAGAATACCTAATTTAACGAATAACTGATTGCGTAGATGCCACAAAACTCAATATGAATTCAATGATACTAAAAAATGAACAAATTTTAAATGAAACGACACCAAAATAATCAAACTGATTTATACTAAGGCTATGCAAAAGGATTTCTTTGATGAAATTGGTTCTATCAAGCTGAATCGAAACAATAATTATATCATTGTATAAAAAATGAGATAAATTATTCTGTGAAAACTGCAGAGACACTTCATGATTAAACGCAGCTTATACAATTTTTCCAAAAATTTAAGTGAACTGAAAATTTCCGCTTGTGAAAGGAAACTTGGAAGGTACTAATGTGGTTTTAGAAAAATAAGTTGGTAATAGAGTAGCTGTCAAACATTTAACAAATAATAGAAAAAAAATTACGAATACGAATACAGACAGATTTGGTAGCTTTTTGTTGAATTCAAAAAAAACTGTGATAGTGTACACCGAGAGAGCCTCTTTAATATTATGGAGGAATTTTGAATACC